ATGTCTTTCAAGAAGCTCTGGCCTCCCATTTCACCCGTGACATCAATCCCCAGTATTGTGTCAGCATTACGTCGGCCATTGAGGAGTCATGTCTCTTTCTGCAAATGCAGCAACATCCAACACACCCCAGGCTTGGTTAGAAGGTGAAAGATGTAAGGAAAAAGTCGTAAAAAAACCGAGATATCCAAAAATGTAACCAGTGGCCTCAGAAAGTAGTGATTTCCCTCAGTGGAAGTCTTTATAAGCAAAGGTTGGATGTTTTAGAGAGAATTCTCATTTGGGTACAAATTAGACTAGAAAGTCTCTGAGATCCCTTCCAATTCTGAGATTCCATGATGAGACTGTGACTTGTCCTCCATCAGGTTCTCAGAGATGATCAGAGATGATCAGGTAGCTGTGCTTATCTGTTCTAGGACAGGCCTAACTCAGGCCAATCTAGTCTTTCAGGTGTAGGAGTAAAATGCAATGAGACATTCTTAGAGGCAATTTATTAAATTTTTAAAAAAACTTTACCAATAGTGAGAGGGGATAGGAACTGGACTTGTGATTCCACTGATATAGAGAACTCCTGGATGCAGGAGCTTCCTCTACCAATGCAGGCACCTTCTCTGAAAGTAACAGTCTTAGAGAGTTGCCCACAACTGCCTGGCAGCAAATGGCCAGATTCAATATGCAGATGGGAAATATTTGTAGATAATGTTAATTTGTGGTTTTCTAAGTCAACATGGACCTGCAGAGATCCATTTCTACTTGAGTATGATACCACTGGCCTAGAGAACTGAGACTTTAAGTATTTTCTGTGGACCTAGTACACATTAGAGCAAAGATTTGAACTCAACAATACCTGTTTTTAAGGCCAGTTCTCTATCAGACACACAACACTGCCTCTCAACTTTATTGATAATGATATTTTAAAAGATACAGTTCTTGGTTAAATTTAAATAAAATACTTCTCCCCTCTGCCTCCACATTCACCACAATAATCAGTAAGGCTAGGTTTAGAAAGATATCCTACAGGGTACTGGGAATTCTGCTAAAACCTTCAACACCAACTCCCCATGACTCCTTGGGCTGGGTCACTAATTACTCAGATGGCAATGAAAGCAAAGGATAATTTCGCTATCTTCAAGAACTTCCCCAGCCTATATAAAACAGGTGCTACTCTCACCATGTCATCTATCATGCCATCAGTAGATTCAGGAGAAACATGGGATTGCTAAATTTTCATTCAACAAGCTGACAAATTCTTTGGGGGTAGGGGGCCTTGGCTTCTAAATTATGAGTTCAAGTCTTAACTCTTAGCCCACAGTGCCCTGTAGGTACCTGGAAGGAATATAGGTATCAGGGAATAGACATATTCCTATTTAGATAGCTCTTGCCTCCTTGGGAAGGGAGACCATATTCCAATGAATGCTTCTGCAACTGGCATGTTAAACACTAAGTATCTAATTACTTTGTTCCATGGCACTAATAATAAAATGACAGGAAGTTTCAGAAATGTCTAACAAGTGATTTATTCAATTAAACTGCTGTTATTAAAAACACACACACACAGGTAATTTTCCCCCCAGTGCAGACAATACTATGCCTTTCTAATTAGAAGCTAATTACTTACTAATGTGGTACTCTCTCTGCTTTTTGAACAATGTATTGGAAGGTGGAGATACACAAGGGTAGCTCAACTGGGCACCTTGGGAATGAAAAGTGTTGAGCCTGTGCCCCAACCTAGTATATTCATTCACTCATCCATTCATTAAACAACTGTATTAATTAGCCTATGATGTATAGTTTTCACGAACTCAACAAAATATCTCCCAAGGATAAGGATGAAATCCATCTTACATATGTCACCCAATCTCAAAAGAAGATGTGATCTTGGTCTGTGAAAGGATCTCTCCTTTCCATACCACTGCCCCACCCATCCCTCCGTGACATTACAATGGATTATGTGGGAGATCAAGGAAGAATCTAGCCGGAGTCTGGTTTGAGTGACTTGAGTCCCTGCCCAGTTCTTGGCATCCACTCCCCATCTATATAGATAATGTGCTCCTACTGACCATAAGACAGCCTAATGAAATCACAGAGATGCTTTGGGTTCAGAGGAGCTAGTTACACAAGGCAGGGCTGAACAAGAAGGCCTGAGTCATTTGGGCTTAAAAGAAAAAAACAAGATAAATCATTAGGCAACTATTTAAGTCCCTAACATCACAAACCTCGGATGGCTGCTATTGCCATAGGTACTAGAAAGGCCTGCTGTGCTAACATTGGGTTAAGTCCTGTCACTGATATTTCCCCTCAAATATTCCCCCTCACACTAAAGATCTTGACTCTGACTCTTGCTTTTCTGCCTGGTTTCCCGGTAACAGGACCAGCCTGGTGTCTAATCTTCCTCTTGTATTGTCCATAATGTTTAACCCCCATGATCTAGACTTATTGTTCATTTGTTTCAGTCACATCTGACTATTTGTGACCCCATTTGATGTTTTCTTGGCAAAGATTCTGGAGTGGTTTGCCATTCCCTTCTCCAGCTCATTTTATAGATGAGTAAACTGAGGCAAATGGGGTTAAGTGACTTGCCCAGGGTCACACAGCTAGTGAGGTCACATTAGAACTCAGGAAGATGAGTCTTCCTGACTCTAGGCCTAGTGCTCTATGTACTGTGCCACCTAGCTGCCCATGACCTAGCCAGGGGCATGGAACGTGCAGCCTCAAGGGCACATGTGTCCCTCTAGGTCCTCAAGTGCAGCCCTTTGACTGAATTCAAACTTCACAGAACAAATACCCTTAATAAAAGAATTTGTTCTGTAAAACTTGGACTCAGTCAAAAGGCCACACCCAAGGACCTAGGAGGCCACATGTGACCTCAAGGCCACAAGTTCCCCACCCCTGATCCTAAAGACCATCAAATTATGTAACCTTCATCTGCCCCCCCCACATCCCTAGTGTCTGTTCTCTTAGAGCACAAAATGATGATAATAATAATAATAAGCATTTATACAGCACTTTAAGGTTTGAAAAGTGCTGTTCATAGGTTATCTTAGTGGATCTGCAAAATGGCAAAAACTCAGGTCTTTTTGATCCATCCCATCCCCACAAACTCCAAAGAGGCTTATTGACAACTCTTTCTTCAGTCACTATTAGCAACTTGTTTGCTTGTGTGAGAACCACCCCCAGAGTTGACTCAAACAGAATTAAGGATATGCCATTGAATTGTACAATAGCACATGTCTACATAGCTCTTTAGAGTTTACAAAGAGTTTTCCTAACAGCTACCCTGTGTTAAACAATACAGGGCCATCCCACTGCAGGTATTATTTCCATTTTACAGATGAGAAGACTGAGGCCCAAGGAAGTGATGCAATTTAGCCAAGGTCACCCCTCTAGTAGGTATCTGCCTGCCCATGCCTCATATATGACAGTTAATGGATTTTGGGAGGGGAATGATTTAATCCAAGAAAAGCATTTACTGGTAATGGCTTTTACTGTAAAGAGAAGAATGGGGTAAAACCTAAAAAAAAAGCAGGGGAACAAAATGTAGCCAGGTATCTGAAAGTGGGAGGAATGGAACAAGGAACGAAGAGGAGAGTTGTTATTTTGTTTTGTTTTCTAATCAAAGAAAGAACTTGATTTTGGACTAAAGAAGATTAGGACATAGGGAGATATTTCATGAAAGGTGGGTAAGAATTTGGGAGAAAGAGAATGATAACCTGGAAAAGCAGAAATAAATCTAGACCAAGCAAGGAAAGCAGGAAGAAACAACTAAGAAATCTTCACACCAATCTTCTGCTCTTATCTTACCTAATTGGTAACGTCTTGAACCTACACATCTGTCATCTTCATCATCTGCAGCAAAATAATTATTAATGTACTTGAGACAAGCCTGAGAGAGTGCCGCTGAGAAAAAAGTACAAGAAATTAAGCAGGAGTTACATTTCTGAGGCCTCAGTGAACAAAGAATCTCTCCAAGGTGCAGTTCTTCCTGGAGGACAGCATCAGATGGAGAAAGCAAAGACAGACAATGTTACAACTTAGCAGCTGTGTTCCATGATATGGAGAAAGAAGGGAGGAAATCACAATTATGAGCCAAGAGAAAGCTGGGTAGATCAGAAAATAGCTCCCAATCCCCGTCATTTCGTTTGTAGGTATAGCAGCATTTGGGGACCCACTAGAGAACCTTTCCCCAAGGTCCACAAGGAGGATGGTGTATGATTTGGGGGAAGGTATAGGCTGGCACCCATTGCAAAATTTTACATCAAGGGCCTTGAATTTTAGCTTAGGCCACTCCTTTTTTGCCAGAAATATATGTTGGCAGAGAGAAAAATATACTGTACACCATACTGTGTAGAAGGTCTGGACCAAGTGAAAGCACTTTCCAAAGCATTTTCTGGGCAGCACAGATGGGCACTGGTTTGAAGCTGCTCAACTTCCCATCCTGCTCAGGAACCCCTAGGGTGATCTTGAGCAGAAGACTGAAAAGGGCACAGCTCTTCCTCAATCCCTCTCCACAAATAGACAAGATGGTACTATCATGTTAGGAGAACAGAGTGGGAGGCAGCATGAGATTTTCTGAAATACCTGCTCCTTTTGGAAACCCAAGCCAAGAGAGATAATACCATAGCCTATGCTGGGTTTCCCTCTGTCCTAAAGGAGCTGTGTCTTTTGTCCATCCGAGGCAGAATATTTAAGATTGATATAGCATTATGGGAAGGAATTCCTTTTTCTGTTCCTTGAGACATTTCATGGACTGCCCAGAAAATGGTCACTATGATCTGTTCTACATATGGATCTGGTTTACAGCCTTAAAAGAGATTCATAATTAGAGCACAAGGCAAACAGGATTTCATTATGGGGTACTGATAGGAGAAGGGGCATGTAACTCCTCGCCACGGAGATTGTGTCTAGAGGGCTTCCTTCACAGTCCAGCAGAAGTGCAGAATTCTGGGCCACAGAGCCCCTCCCACTGTCTTCAGTCCATATCTCACCACCTCCCTCCTCTCTACTCAGGCTGATATTGCTCTAGGCACAATTCTGGCTAGTTATGGCTCTGTCCTAGATTTCACAAAAGGAATTAAAACCGCAGGAATCTCGAGGTCATCTAGCCAATGCCTGCCCCCTTCACCCAGACAGGATCATAGCGAAAGAATCACAGAATTTTAGCCCAAGAGTCAGGAAGTTCTCCCGTGACTAACCTAATTCCCTCCCACTGCAATTTAAGTCCTTTTCCTTTTGGGCTGTTCTCAGTGAAAACAGAGAACAGCTGCTCATCATACTCACCCCCATCCAGCCCTTGGCTTCTCATCAAAAAGTGAGTATGAAATGTCTAATAGTTTCTAATGCTGCTCTTGGTTATGGGTGGGGATTGCCAGTCATGAAAGCTCCAGTTAAGAAACATCTCTATTGGAAAACTTCTCTAGCTCAACCCAGGAATTGGGGAATTCCTCAACCCAGATATTCAAAGAGGCTCCACCTTGAAGGTCAATGAATCAGGAAGCTAGGTTGGAAGACAAAAAGTTGAGTTAACATCAGCTGATGGGCATTTGCCAGGTGCATAGTAACTATGAGGAACAAAGGGAGATATTTATGTAGGGTTTTACACAGTCTTAGGGCAACATTATGTGACCAAAGAAATCTATCAGGTGAGGATTCTTATTTGGAGATTGGGTAATAGAGCTAGGTTGTCAGAAGACCTGGGGGAGAATGTGTTGACCTTGGGGTTTCAGGAGTTGCCAAAAATCAGGTGATTTTTTTTCCCCAATAGGATAATGTTTTCTCTGTAATTAATCTCATCAGAATATCCTCTTTGGGCAGGAAATCCCTAAAATAGAGGAAGACTCTTCCAGATTGAATCTGTTAGGCTCATTCTTTCCTTGCTAGCCTGAGGGTCTCTATTTGTACAAACCTATAGATCTGTTTCTTTGGTCTCAAAGGTTTTTTTTTTTACCTGGGAAAAAGATGTTTCTCCCAAACTTGCAGTCCATATCCTCCACAGTAGCCAGGTTAACTCCTGAAAACAGAAAAGTCTAGGCTCCCTGAGGACATAGGACTAAAGGATCTGAGAAGATCATGGGCAGCCTTACAGGTAGATGGAATAGGTGGTCATTATGGTTTCTTCAAAAGTGAACAGCCACACAAGGCATAGAACACTTTATGAAACTCCTGTTTGCAGTTTTAGTCTCTGTGAAGCTTCCTGGATATGGCATAGGGAGCCAGCTGGCTCATATGGGCAACCCTAGAAAAAACTTGGGAGGTAAGCAAAGTTTGTCTTTGGTGCCTACCTACTTCCCTTTCCATACTATTCTATCATATCCTATGTCCTCCTCTCCACTCCCAGAAGTCCTGGATCCTTAGGATGCTTTCTCACTACTCAAACGCTACTACTTCAGCACCCCCAAAATATTTTTCCTGTCCCAAATTACACTGAAATCCAAAATTACTTTTTCTTCTTTTCTCCTCTTCTCATTCCCACATCAAAACTCCCATTCCCTGTGCCAGAATGTTAGTTTGTGTCTGGAAAGCAACCTGATTAAAGCATGAACACTAAAGTGGGATAGGCACAGCAAACAAGAGTATTAACCTTCCTAGGAAAATGCGTTTATTAACTCAAATAAATCTTGTATCAGCTCATTTCCAAATTAAAAGTAGAGAGACATAGCTCACATTATATATGTATATATTATTATAAATACAGTTGTCCCTATTATAATGTAAACTCCTGTGAGCAGGAATTGTTGATGTATTCTATCACCAGTGCCTGGCACATAGTAGGTGCTTTACAAATGCTTGTTGATTGATGGACATTAGAAGGAAAATAAAGTATACCAGAAGGATACATACACCAGTCTACGAAAAAAGCCAACTAGTGCCCTTCTTCCCTGATAACAAGACATGCCACAGCACAGGTGAGATCTGAGCTAGGAGATGGCCAGCTCTGCATGGCCTAGATGATGAGGTTTAGGGGCTCAGGGGTGCTGGGACCCCAATATCCTGCCTGAAAGAATTTGACCCAAGCCTTCTTTCAGCCAAAGACAAGGTTCATTAGAACATCCGTCATATTGGGCTTAAGAGTCTGCACACTAGTAAACTATTGGCTAGATTATAAGAATCTGACCAGTGCCTAGATTATAAAAATCTCAGCATTTTAATGGAGACAAGATGGACCTTATATATAGAAAGCCTGTGGGAGGGATCTAGGAGTGGCCAAGTAGTTTATGAGGTAATGGAATTCTAGGGAAATGGAGCCTATATAGGATCAAAGGTGGGAAGTGGCCTGGGGCCATAGGGAGGCAAGACCTTGGAGGGCAGATTGGGTGTAGCCACAGTGAAAGGTCAGTTGATGGGATTATAAACTCAGGCGATTGCCAAAGATTTGGCCATGTGGGAAAGTCCAGAGTTTCCTTTTGGGGGTCTAGATCCCAACCCCATCGTTCTCCCCTCAAATTCTTTTGGGGTAAGGGGCGAAGGTCTTGGCTTCTGAAACCGTTTCCTGCTGGCAAAGGGTCTAGAGCTGTCCCTGCTGGAGGGGGTCCCAAAGAGGAGGTTGACTAGAACTGAGCACAGGCTGCATCCAGGGAATGATGTGGGGACAGTGGCTGGTACTTGCTGTTTGCTACCAACTGTAGGTGAATGGCGCATAGTCTGGAAGACATAAATCTGACAGAAAAAACTGCAGGGCCCAGATATAAAGCAGGGACTAGATTTAGGGCCCAACTTTGAGAGGATAAAACACCCTTAGCTCTGTTTGGATTCAGATAATTCAGCTTTCCAACCATGCAGTATCAAATCCACCTCCCACCCTTAATCCTAGCTAGGCCCCATTCTCACTGGCATTCTATTACCTTACTGTCCCTGAAAACTACTTGACCACTCCTAGATCCCTCCCACAGTCTACATATAAGGTCCATCTTGTCTCCATTCAGGTGCTCAGATTCTTATTCAGCCACTGCTCAGATTTTTACAATCTAACCAATAGCTCACAGATGCTCAGACTCCTTAAGAGTCTGGCTAATAATGGCAGATCTTTAATAAACCTTGTCTTTGCCTGAAAGAAGGCTTGGGTTGAGTTCTTTCTGACAGGACCCACGTATTGTGATTTTGAGGTTCCAGCATCCCTTAACCTCTAGACCTCATCAGGATCCCAATGTCTGCCCTGTCCAAGAGCAAGGATACGTCAGGCTGATATTGCCAGAACACCCAGGCCATGGCCACTCCTTGCCCTAAACTCAAAGAAACCTGACTTCCAGGCTCCACAGAGATACGGGTCAGCAGAACTGACACTATCCTCACCTGTACAGTGGCATGCCCTATCATGACAAAGTCTCAGTTGGTTGTATCACAGATGCTACATGTAGCTTACATCCTCCTTTTGTCAGGATAATAACAAATTGTAACAAGGTATGATCTTCAAAGTGATCTTAGAAAACCCTCTCATTCCTTTTTCTTTTTTTTTTTTTTTTTGCTTTTAGGCAATTGTGGTTAAGTGACTTGCCCAGGGTCACATAGCTAGTAAGTGTCAAGTGTTTGGTCTGAGGCCAGATTTGAACTCAGGTCCTCCTGACTTCAGGGCAGGTGCTCTATCCACTGTGCCACCTAGCTGCCCCTCATTCCCCTTTTTCTAACTGACCTATCCACCCCTCACAAGACCCCAAAAGTACTCGAATTGGCTATGGCATACAAAGCCTTTCATGGCTGGTCCATCCTACCTTTCCAGACTTGCTGCACATTATTCTCCACAACTATGATCCATCCAAACTAACCTTACGGTTCCTTACACATAGGACTCCATGTCTGGTCTCCATGTCTTTGCTGTGCCTAATGCCTAAAATGTCACACACACACACACACACACACACACACACACACACACACACACACACACTCTAGAATTCCTACTTCCCTGGAAGGCTCAGTTCAGGAGCCACCTGAAGCCTTTTCTAATTCCCCTAGGTACTAGTGCCTTCCCCCCAGATTATCTTGTTTTGATTTGATCTATTTCAGGTTGTCCATTTCCTCACACTACTCCTTTCCTCCCCCATAGATTATATAAAATCATCAGGGGCAAAGACTTTCCCTTTTGTTTTTGTATCCTCACAGACTAGCACATAGAAAGCAATAGTAAATGCTTATTGATAGTCACAGTGTGAAAACTGCCTAATTATCATTACAACCCAATAATTATTGTGAATAACACTAAATATGTATCTGATTAACTTTGCTGCAACTTTTGTTCCATTGAAATACTAAACTCTTATGTAGTCTTTATAGTTTCTGCTCACCTAGCATGGGGGCCCATCTATCCACAGGTTAAAAAAAAATGCCAATGAACAATGGAATTCAGACATTTTGTCATTTAAGACACAATAGCAAAGTCCTGACTGAATGAGCATTTATTAAAGACTTACTATATGCCAAGCTCTACAGGCACAAATACAAACAAGCAAGGCAGTTTCTGCCCTCAAGCAGATTACATTTTAATAGGGAATGAAAACACATAATAGGAAGGTTTATATCCCCTCCCACTTGGTTTGGAAATAACCAGAAAGTGAAGAGAAGGTTTGCTTCTGAGCAAGATGAGCAAAAATTCACCTATTAGACAGCTCAAGGTCTCAGAAGCTCAAAGTCCAGATCCCAGAAGGAAGGGGACAAAAAGGATGGCCAGAGTATAGGTGACATGGTTTGGAAAGTGGCCAGATGCCCCAAATTCCCCTCCCATAAAGCTAGCTGCTAATGCCTGAAATATTCCTAGGAAAAAGGCCTTAATCCTGAGGAGAAATATACTAAGCTGTTAAGTATCTGTGGGGTCTGGGTTGGGGGGAAGCCACTTATGATTCTTACTACGTTAGTATGACTCAATTGAATAAGACTGCTTTTCTAATACCTAGCTGAGATTTCAGCCAGAAGGAATGGGATTTCAGGTGTGCTGGGAGAGGAGCAAGGAGAAGAATCAATTATTAACACCTTATTGTGAATTATTTTATCAGATCATGGAGGATCTGCATTGTGCTATCACTTTGGCTGTAGGCTTGCATTTTTCTAAGTTTCTATTTTCCCACTTGTTTTGGAGGACTCAGTATAGGACAAATCAGTGAAGATACTCAGCAGAAAGCAGCAACCCTGAAATACTATTTCTGGAGATAAGATGCAGCTGAGGCTTCAAAGCAGTTATGACCTTGGCCAGTGGAGCAGCCTAGCAACCTAAAAGGATCAATGAGGCCAAGGTCTTGGTTACTTTAGAGTGTGGCTATTTGAGTTGTGTCAGCATCAGCAGGAAAAGCATTGAAGAGGACATGGAGGAAGGAGGGCATTAAGTTCTGTGGCCCAGCTACTGCTCCCAGAAGCTCACTTGTACTCCTGGGTTTGGACCTGGGGCAGTAATTAATCAGCTTCTAAGAAACAGAGAGAAGCCACAAGAGTTTCTGAATTGATGACATTGTATAAAATTGCTCCTGGTATTTTCCTCTGACTGTCTCCCTCACCTGAAACACTCTCCCTCCCTTGCTCCTAACTACTGACCTCCCTGGTTTCCTTTAAGTCCCAACAAAAATCCCACCTTCTACAGGAAGCCTTCCCTAACCCCTCTTAATTCCAGGGCCTTATTCTTTTAATTATTTCCTATTTCTCCTATGTAGTTTCCTTTGCATATGTTTATTTGTATGTTGTCTCTCCTATTAAATTGTAAGCCCCTTGAGGGCAGGAATTGTCTTTTGCCTCTTTTTGTATCCCCAGCCCCTAGCACAATGCCTGATACATACTAGGCACTAAATAAATGTTTAATTGAATTAAGAAGACCCACTAAAATCCTCTGCCACATATTGTGTCCTAAAGAGATGAAATTTCCTCCCCTCCCTGCCTCCCAGGCTCTCAGCACAATCCAGATATCCTGGGTCTGCAAAGCACTAAATTCTCCTACCCAAATTGGGAAGTCTCTGTGACAGATGTTCTTGAGGAGCCCAGAGTCCACCTCTGCTATGGACTTCAGTGATAAGGGAAGGGATCATTGGTCCTATTGAGTCCTAGAGAAAAGAACTGTAGCTTCTCAAGAGCCTAGAGAACATCTAGACTCCTGCGGTAAGTCTCTACCTCAAGCTTCATAGAATCAGCAAATCTTAGAGTTAAGAAAGACCTTAAGGTCCATCTAGATCAATCTCAACCAAAACCACGAATCCCATCTATAACATACTTGACAAAAAGTTATTCAACCTCTGCTTGAAGGTGTCCAGGGATGGAAAACTCACTAACTCGTGAGGTGGCCCATTCCGTCTGGGGACAACTCCGAGGTAAAATCTGCCTCCCTGCTAATAGTCCTAATTTGCCCTCTTGGGCAAAGAATAAAAGTCCTCCCTCATCCATCTAACAATCCTTCACATCTTTGAAGACAGGGTCTTGTTTCTTTGTGACTGTGTGTGTGTGTGTGTGTGTGTATTGGAAGAGCATGACTGAGGGGAGGGGGATAGGATAGATCACTGGTCCACAGGAAGTGCCAGAAGGCACTGGAAATGCAAAATCCCACGAGGACACTTTGGGGCCACTCCAGCACTTATCACAGTGCCTGGCACATAGTAGGCATTTAATAAATGTTGACCAATTGACTGATTAACTCCAGAGCCAAGTCAATCCTTAGAAAAACTACAAAGTAGGCAAGGGTTTTTTCATCCCCTCTACCCGATGCCAGTACCTCCTTGTTCCCCCACTCATGTGCCCCCTCCTATGTGCCCTTATTTCCCAACCTATGCTGTCTTCCCAAAGCCCTTTCCTGTGGTGCTCTGCTCCACCCTAAACTCCCAAATTTTGCATATTCTTTTCTGGGTCCCATTTCTAACATCCATAATTTGACCACCCTGAGTCCCATTCCCCCAAGGCCCTCCTAAGTAATTGTCAGGCTAATCTGATTCACAAATTTTGCAAGAGTGAATGGATAATCATAGAAAAAAAAAAATATATATATATATATATATCTCCTCATAGGTAATATATTTGCCTTTTAGCAGAGACTTTCAAGGTTTTACCCAACAAGACTGACCAAAATGATGTGAAGTCCAACCAACAGGGGTGGCATATGGAGGGCAGCATATAGGCAACTGAACACTCCATTAATGAATGGGAAACCAGCTATAAACTCTGTTAAAGGAAGAACTAAATTCTCTGAGGGAGCACCAGATTAGACTCAACCAATCAATCAATAAACATTTATTAAGCACCTACTATGTGCCTAAAGCTGACAAGTGCTGGTGCCAGATGTGACCAACAGTGCTTATAGATTTATGGGCCAAAGACATAATCTCTGAACACCATATTTATAGCCTGTTACCAGAAGAAAAATCACAGGATGTTAAATCTGGAAAGTGCCTAGAAACAATCTTGTCTATTGGATAGATTAAGGTAACTGAGGCCCAGAGAGAAAAGTGACTTAGCCAAAGTCAAACTGCAAGCTAGTGACAAAAGTCAGTCAATCAACAAGCATTTAGTAAGCACTTACAACATGTCAGCTATTGTTCTGAGCACTGGGGATACAAAGAAAGACAAAAACAGTCCTTATCCTCACAGACTTTGCATTCCAACAGGGGAGACAATATCTAAATGTACAGAGACAGAAAGTATTCTCAGCGCAAGATATGGAGACAGGACATAAAGTGTTAAGTTTCATATGAGAACAACTCCAATGTACCTTTCCTTGTCCCACACTGTTGGTACTTTGCCCATTGTCTGAGTCCAGTTTCCAAATATATGATACAATCTGATTTTTTCTTTCCCAGAATAGAAATACTTAGAGGTTGATTGGGGTGTGCCCCCTAGGGTTTTTTGTTTTTTGTTTTCTATTTAGAAATCTCTGTCCCTAGCATCTGTCCCCACCATCAACCAACTTTTCCTGTATTACATACTTGGTGCAATTATTACTGGGAATCACAACAAAGCAAAAACATCTTTTTTTTTAACTCAATGCACATTTATTTAACACCTATATGCAAGACAGGGAACACAACTTACCATACAAAGGTGAAAAACAACTTGGTCACTGCACTGAAGGAGCTTACATTCTAATGTAACATTTGAAATGCCAACAAATGGGGATGATACAAGATAGAATGTGATAAAAAGCAAAGGAGATGTCCAGACTGGGTATTCTGGAAGTTTCAGGAGGGAGAGTTCACCAAGGAGAAGGAGATACCTGACCTGAAGAGAAGGATTCTAAAAAGTGGGGATGAAGAGGAAGTATATTCCAGTCATGAAGAGCAATGCATGCAAATGCCTAGAGAAGGAAGAGTAAAAGATGAGAGAGCAGTGACCAGTTAGAAGTCCAATTTTGTTAGAATTATATCCAACAAGAAAGCAGGAATATTAGTAACTCATGGCATTTCCCTTCTTAATAATACTCTCACAGGTCATGAAAAGACATATAGTATTAGAAGCACAAGTGTGTTAGAAAGGACCTTCAAGATCAACTTATGGACTCTTAAGAACCTGCTCAATGCAATGACCAACTACATTCCAGAGGACTGATAAGGAAACAAGCTACCCATTTCTGGACAGAGAAGAGATAGAGGCCAGATGGAGAACACATGCTCAAGTATGGCCAACGTTTGGATTTGTTTTGCTTGACTATGCTTATTTGTTACAAGGGTTTTATTTTTCTTCCTATTGAAGGGATAGAATGGAGAAGGAGAGATCAGCAATAGTTCCACCAGCTCCAAGAAAAAAGAATAGGGTCACTGAAACATTTCAAAGAAAATGGACAGAAGAGAAGAGAAAGAAATTCAGAAGCAACACAGAAAAGCAAGCCAGCTTTGAAAGTAATAAGCCGAATTTATTATATACTTGTTCTTTTAAAGCAATTCATATGTAATACAGATTTGCAGTTACATAGACAATCCTCTTTTTCTGTTCTAGTTTGTATATGCACATGTTAATGGGGGGGTGGGGAGGTAGGGAGAGGAGGTGTTTGTCAACTACTGAATTAAAAAAAAAACTAAAAAGAAAATGAAAGGGAGCAAAAAAAGAAATGAGATCACCCCAAGCAAGGGGTGAAATGATGTGTCTAAAATCAAATTTGCAATAAGCAGCAGAACCAAGATTTGAGTCTTGGTATTCTTAGTCTAAATTCAGTGTTCTTTTCATTGCACCACACTGCTCTGTCATTTGACTTAGGAAACTGGGGACCAGAAGGAGGAAATGACTTGCCCAACATCACACAGGTGGTGAGAAGCAAGAATGAAAATCTAAATCAAGGTCCTCATTCCAAATCTAACTTTCTTTCCATACTATTCTCTCATTTAACAGATGAAGAAACAGAGGCCCACCAGAGTGAAGTCCATGTAATGGAATATTACTTTAGCCACAAGACATGATGGATACGATAAATGAAAAGAAGCATGAGAAAACTTATATGAACTAATGCAAAATGAAAGAGGCAGAACCAGGAAAATAATGTGCCCAGGGACTACAGCCACACAAATAGAAAGAACAATAACAAAATGATCAAAACTGAATACTAGAAAATATAATGACCAAGCTTGGCCTAGAGGAAGAGAGATGAGAAAGTAACTTCTTGGCAGAGGTGAGGGCTGTGAATGTGAAAACATTGCATGTTAATCTTTTTCATTATGTTGATTAGTTTTTCTGAACTGTATTTTTCCCTTTTCAAAATTCCTTTATAAAGCAAGCTTTCTGGGAAGGGGGAAAATAGGGGTTATATTGGGAAATGGAGGAAATATAAAAACAAAAGATATCAATAAAAAAATTTTAAGAGAAAACTGAGGGATAGAGGGTAATTTACTCCATTTCATAGCTAGAACTTCTGGGAAAATATTCTCCCAAATCTTCAAGGATGAAAGTGACAAAAGCACTTGTGTGTCTTATTTGCCAACAACACTCCTCACCTTACTACACATACACACATACTAACACACTAACACATTACCAGCATCAAAACACTTCTCTAAAGTAAACAGTGTCTTGATCTTGGCATCACATCTGGTCTGTTGCTGGAGTGGTGACTGGTTATTTATGGAACTCATTTCAAGTTTCTGCTGTTGCCTGACCCATCTGTTTGACCATGCATCCTCCCTCAGCTATGCTGGGTTCTGACTGATAGTCCTGGGCCAGATGGGGATCTGCCCCAGGCTAGAAGCTGTACTGTCTTTCTTCATAGGCCATATGGTAAGGGCAGAGAATGACCCCAGGTCATTGGGCAAAGAGCCACTAGATGGGGCTGGAGGAAGCACCATCAGAAACAGACCCTGGGACACAGATGGGTCACTTAGTCTTGATAAGAAACATACCAGTGTTGAAATAGAGTAAGTGTTGGAACTTACATGGAGAAGAAAGGCTGGAATAAGGTCAGCACTCCATCAGAAGGCAGCCTACCACAGAGCAGTAAGTACTGGACCTAAAGTGAAAAGAGACCTGTGTCAGAATCCTGGTTCTGACACTTAAAAAGTTGTGTAACCCTGGTAAGTTACTTCACTTTTATGAGCCTTTTCCTCATTTGTCAAATGGAAATGACAGTACATGTACCATTTACCTCACAAAGATGAGGAACTCACACGGGAAATCCTAAAGCAATATACGAATATGCATAATTATTGTTATAGGATTTAAAGCTGGGAGGGACCTTAGAGGTAATCTAGTCCAACCTGCTCATTTATAGATAAAGAAACTGAAGCCAAGAAAGGTCAAGGGACTTGCCCAAAGTTCTACAAGTTGCAGAGAGAGAATTTAAACCCAGGTCCTCTGATGCAAAATCCAATGTTCTTTCCATTGTGCCACAATGGAAATATTCAAAGATGTGTGTGTGGAAGGAGCTGATGGAAATAGAAGGCAGATAAAGGTCTTAACATCTGCAAAAATCTCCTTGTCTGTCTTCAGTGAGTACGTAATTATGGTATGAAGGCATTTATACACACACACACACACACACACACACACACACGCATGCATATATACACATATGTTTGCTGGAGAAAAACATAAAGGTATTGAGAAGGATTTGTATAAAGTAATGGGACTTATTTTTCAATAAAGATACCAGAATACATACGCACACTAGTGTTGTCCTTCTCAAACGTGTTCCCCTTGGAAGTCTAGACCCTTATTTCAATGAATAAGTAGAAAGTAAGTTCCTTGCAGCCAGGGGCCATTTGTCATTTTTTTGTCTTTGTGCCCTAACTGGCACAGTGCCTTTTTCACTTAATAGGCACTTAATAATGTTTGCCGTACTGAAAGTGTCACTGCTCAAAACTTGTCAGAACACATCTCTGGGAATTGCCTTTATAGGCAACTTATGAGCCAGGCAAAAAAAACAGTAATTACTTTATAATCACACAGGTTACCTTGGTTTTCCCCAGCTTTCTTGATTATTCATCTTATTAACTAGACTTGATTCCAAATGACTTTCCCAAAATCAAACGCATCCTCAAAGGACAAAGATTTACCATGATGGAGCACCACAGTCATATGGAGGGATGCTGGCTACAGCACAACTCTACATCTCCTATAGTCACATCTTTTTGCATATATGTGGGAGGTAATAGTGGATGGAATTAAAAGACTAGAAAAAGTCAACCAACAAGCATTTATCAAATATCTGCTCTGTGCTCTGCCCTGCTGCCCCCTGCCTTTTACCTCCAGGAACAGCTATCAACTGGAGTTAATCTATTCAACTCTGGGACTCACCCGGGGGCAGGGCTACCTGGGCTGTTGGAGGAAGATTGAGGGAAACGTTCACCTCAACATTCTATTTCTAGTTGGCTCTGGCGTAAGCTTCACCCCACCTAGCCATCCCACCAGGGCTTGGCCAGATCAGGCTTCTTGCCAGCTACTCTGTCAACATCTACATATGCCCCACCCCACTCTCACTTTTCACCTCTGTCTCAGGGAATAATAACTAAATCAACATTACCATTCCTACAGGGAAGGATAAAACTGGCTCTACTTAAAATCCTTGTGATTCTGAATAATAAACTAGTAACCATTCCATGCCCCATCATACCTGTCTAATCCCTAATGAGTCTCTACCCAACTCCATCCTCCCTTTCCATTGAGCCCTGTAGAAAACTATTTCTATTTTCCCATACCTTTCCACAGGCCTCCCTCATTTCTAGAATGCTCTCCTGTGCCTCTTGGAGCCCCTAGTTCCCTTCAAGGCTCAGCTCAAATGCCACCTCCTTTAAGAAGGCTTTCCTGAGTCTCCCAGTTGTGAGAGTCCTCACCCTAATCACTATTTTTTAAAATGCATGCCATATTTTCTTATAATACCTGTAAACATGTTGTATCGCTCTGGCAAAACAAAAACTCCTTAAGAGCAAGGACTGTCTCATTTTTTTACTCATATCTTCAGTGCCTAGCACAGTGCTTAATAAGATACTTAATAAACTTGTTCATTGGTTGATAGGCAAGGCGGAAGACAGGAAAGAAAGGTAAGGTATTTCCCATCCACAGGAGCTCATAGTCTAGTAGAGACAAGAATGGATCTCTAGGTATCATCTAATCCATTCTCTTGCCTTCAGGCAAAAACCAACCACCCGTAACCGTCCCAGAGAAAAATGATTTTATTTCACTTAAAACGACTCCAGAGAAGCTGACTCCATAATACAGATCAAGAATTCATGTCGATGTTTAACAACACCCTCTGCCTTCACTTACACTGTTTCTCCTTCCTAGAAATACCTTCACCTTTTCACCTTTTGAGTCTACCCATCCTTTAAAACCCAACTCAGATACCACATTGTAACTTCCCCTTTCAAAATTAAACTGCCCCTTCAAACCAAATACACATTTTATTGTGTAGCTTGGTAATGCATTTATCCTGCAACATTTGACTCTCTCAAAAATGTCATCAGTAGATGTTACAGGTATTTGTGTTTGTCTTATCTTTCACCAGACCAGAGAATGAACTGTCTTATCTAAACTTTGTATCTTCCTGCCCTGTTCCCTACTATCTAGCAGACTATTCTCCATAGAAACTTAATAAATATTTGTAAAATGAAAAATTGATTATGAATGAATTCTCCCTTATAGCTAATCTAAATTTCTCATGCAGCAATATGCCTATTTTCTCCTGTTCAAAGATCAGTGGAGAAAGCTGGTCATCATCCCGTCCAAGAGTCCAGAGGACCTTTCTCTAAGATGAATATTCTCAGCTCCTTCAGCCTTTCCTCATAAATCCTATTTTCCAAACCTCCAAGTTTTTTGTCTCACTTTTTGAACCCATTTGATGTTCTTCTATAATTGTAGAACCCCAAACTAAATAGTTCAGGCTTTAACTGCTTTCACAACTTTTAGGCTTATCATAAGTATTCACCTTTTTCAGGTTATCAGTTATGAGAACAAAGAATTTCTAACTTCTCCAGAAAAGGATCTTTACATTCAGGCACTAAAGAAATCCACCAGTCAGTCTCAAAATGAACAGGGTCAGCCAGTTACAACCAGTGAATTCTCTTTGAAATGTCCTCAGGTTAGCTGGTCTGGGTATCAAGTGAAATATAGGTAAGTAGGTGGACTCCTTGATTTGAAAGCATCAGCAATACTCTTCAGCTTTGATGCTGAAGAGGCAGACGTCCAAAGGTATACCTTAACTGCTGCCCAGGTTATAACCCATTAGATCTGGGACAAGGCACATATATAGAAAAGAGTCACTGAAAAGCCATTCTGATCTCCCTGACCCCGATCCAAAATATTCACAATCTGCTACAGAATCAGTCAGTCTGAGGGTAAGAAGCAAAAGCATAATACTATGCAGAAAGCTAAAGCACCTAACATGTGAACTAAGAGGCATGAAATATACCACCTTTTTCCTACAACCAGCTGATGGTTTTCCAGTCAAATTCTGCCATCTTGTGGCACAAGTATATATGGGAAAAGGAAACAGGCATGAAGGATACCTTCGACCTTGCCTTCTGTCCAAAAGCTTTGTAA